TGGTTGCCCTCTGTAATAAAGGACAGATTACAGAAGAAAAACAGAAGTTTAATAACAATGTACACCTCCTTTATACATGGGAGATACCCAAGAAAACTGAATAACTCCCAGAAATGGCCCAAGCCATGACCTTAAATACCATTTTTAGCTAAGGACAAAAGAAGATGTAGAGTTGGGGCTTCTGAGAGGCCAGCTACGGGAGGCTATCAGGCAAAGCACAGTAAACTCGAGTTATTGGCTTTGCACTGCATATCCCAAATATCTGCATTCTCCATTGATAGGTTTCTAGAGATTCAGTCATCCTCCTTTTCCTGGTACAGAGAGGGAGACACCCTTACAAATAGAGATTTCCCTTATAAATATAAATGTCTTTTACAAGAGGGCAACCTTTAGATGAATTTCAAAGCTTCTTCTGTATCTTCAGTTTTATAAAAATAATCAGCTCAAGATAGTTCTTATGCCAAAGAAGCATATTTTGGGGTTTCATATTCTGCTCCCCATCATATATGATAAATTTCTATAAATATGCCATTGACATGTATAAAGGAGCCATTCTGTACATGCAATACAAAATTTATTGTGGCTTATTTCCTTAATTCTAAGACTCTATAATTACAAGAGAAACCATTGATTTAATAATAGCTTTTCAGGAAGAATAAACAATACATTAAATGTATATAAATTTTTATTATTTACTAATTTATAAAGGCATGCATTTATCCTTACTGTTATATACCTTCTTCTTCTTTAGTGCCTCATAATTTAAGTCTGAGCCTTTTTCATCAAATACAACCTAAATATTTTAAACTTAGATTCGTGATGCTGATCTTTTCATAAAATGTTGAGCCTTATCGAACATTACTGGTGTTTTATCTCTCTCTCCTAACTCTTCTCTAGAAATTCAACTGTAAGTTTTGACTCTTAGATGTTTGGTTCCTGAGTCTTTTTGCATTGGTCACACCAACCTTATCATCTCTAAAGAGTCTGTGATTTATTCTGAGAGATTAGGCTTTTGCATCGCCTAGCTTACGATGGACAGTCTTCACACAATTATTTTTTTGTGCCAGTGCTTCATCGGACAATAGTCATTTCGAAACATTTTAAGTGAAAATTATGAATCTAAATTGATGTTAAAATCCAGCTATTTGGGATATGCAGTGCAAAGCTAATAACACAATTGACATGAAAATAAAATTTACTCCTTCCTCACAAGGCTAAATTTACACCTTGCATCAAGTTAAAGTATGTGCTTGTTAAAACCCACTCCTGACTGCTTTGAGTTTCTTTTGGCATTAATTGTAAGAACATTCTGATTTCAGAAATAGTAACATTAAAAAATTTCCCTTTATAATGAGGAAATATCATGTATCTATTATTTAAAGCTAATTCATTTCAGATTTTATGCCCTCTAGGCTATCATCAAATCCAAATGCCTCAAGGATCAGGCAGTAACCTAATATAATACAGTAGAGCTTACAGAGGTCTGTGGGGGGACTAAAGATCACATGCCCTGCCAAATGACATTTACATTCCATTTTTAAGAAGATTACAGTCAATTATATCCTTTAGGACCTTATTTTATCTAGTTTCTGCTTGATATCATAAATTATAATGAAAACTTGTATCATAATTATGTTTCTATAAATTTTCATTTCTAGCAATTTTTATTTCAGATCAGAGCTGGGTTCTCTGGTATATCAAGTACCATTGCAATTGGATCTTTTATCTTTGTGAGATCACCTTTAATCTATTTGGTGTCTCTTGCCTTGCATTCTACTTTGCTACATTTTACAATTCCCTCTCCCTCATCCTTTTCTATCTTTCCATTTCTACCACAACGATTTGTTCTCTACCTTTTGTCTTGGGGGGAGATGATTTTCCTTCTGCCTTTCTAGGTTCTTGGGTGAGATATCCCTGTAATAAAAAACAGATTAATGGGAAAAACGAACAAGTTTAATAACATGTATTCCTCCTGTATACATGGGAGAGACCCAGGAAAACTGAGTAATTCCCTGGATTGGTGCAAACCACCACTTTAAATATCATCTCTAACTAAAGACATAAGATGTGGTAGGCAGGGGAAGGCTAGTTATGGGAGGTTATTAGGAAGGGGACAGTAAAAAGGGGTATGGTTGTTAATACAGATTTAAGTCCTTGCCTTCTCGATTGATAAGAGTTTCTAGAGATTTAGAGCCATCTTTCTCTTCCTGGTACAGAGAGGAGGATACCCTTCCAAATGGAGATTTCCCTTACAAATGTAAATGTCTCTTGCAAAAAGGTAACTTACTCAATTTTCAGAGCTTTTCCTGTGTCTGCAGTTTCTTAAAAATAACTAGTCTAAAATAATTCTTATGCCAAATAGGCATATTTTGGGGTGACAAATTCTGCTCCCTTTCACTTTCATGGTGGAGTTCTATAGCCCTGTATTCTCAAGAAACCAGAACATGAAATATCAGTATATCCCTCTTCTAGAAATATTGAAGTCCAGCTTCAAATAATGTCTTTTTTCTCTCTTTATTTTCATTTAGCATCCTTTATTCTCTTTTAATGCATCACTGGATTGATAAATGTTTAATGGTTACATACATGACAGTGTTATCAACTGATCTATGCCAGTTTGGTCATTTACAAATATATATCAATAACATTTAATACGTAGGGATAGGTGAGAGCTCTGAATGATCTCTCTACACTTTCTTACCTGATTACAAAGAAAAGAAGTTTCAGGTTGAATAGTATTGTAGGAGTGGAAAACTTTCCTCTTCTACCTTTTTAGGTTCTTTTGCTGGTCTAATAATTAAATTGACATAAGACAGATTAACATGAGAAAAACAAATTTTGTACATATGAGAGCCCCATAAAAATATTAGACTCCGTGGCAGTCAGGTAATTGAGGCTTATATAGCATCCTGAGCTAAAGGGGTAGAGAAAGGGGTAGGTTTCTGGGGCTTCAAAGGGGGAGGATAATTCACGGGAAGATGTGAAGAACAAATGTTTGGTAAACAAATATTTGCCATGCCATGCAGATAAGTCTTTCTGATATAAAAACTTTCTCTAGTAATAGCTCTCTTCCTGGTATGGGGCCCTAATCTAAATTCTTTTAATCAGTTAAGGGGAAGATAAAAAGTTTTTCTTGAGTCTGCTGGGCCCTGATTGTCTTCAGCTTGAAATAATCCATATGCCAAAGTGGCACATTCTCGGGTGGCATATTCTGCTCCCCCTCACTACCTTTACTGAAAACTCGATAAAACCCCAGCTCTGTTGTCCTTTTAGGTGTTCCAGCAACATCTTTTTACGCACTGCTTTCTTATTGGGATATAATTCATATAACATAAAATTCACAATTTTAATGTGTCCAATACAGTTTGGTGTCCAATTATCTTTTTTAAAACTGAGGTAAAATTTACACAATGTAAATTAATCAGCCATTTTAAAGTTTGCAATTTAGTGGCATCCGATATATTCATAATGTACAACCATCGCCTCAATCCAGTTCCCTAGACATTTTCATCACTCCAGAAGAAAACCCTGTATCTATCTAACAGCATCTTACCAGAAATGTTCACTCAACACAAATGTGGCAACGTTTTATCTAGCTAAATCAGACTAGATAAATTCCTGAAGAAAGCAGCTGAACATAGGACCATTTCAGAATGAAGCCAAAGGTGCTGTTTTGAAGGATATAGACCTCTGGACTTACTAGATTCTTAGAACCTGATCCAGTAAAGACACCGACTGGTCAATATTTACAACTGATCCATTAATTTTGAATACAATCATTTTACTAACTAAAACTTATTTCTACCATCTTTTATGGTAATTAACAAGGCTTCTTGCGTTGATCAGAGATAAACTTCAGAAAGGGCATTTTGTCAGCCCTTTCTGAAGTATGGGCTTCCGATAGAAATTTGCTAAACACTACCAGAGCATATATTCCTAATTCAGGTAACTGACTACACTTAGAGGGTAGATTTTATTTAACAGACTCACTCATATGTATCATACTGTCCATGTTGAATGACCCTAGTCTTATGTCTATTCACAATTAAATTTTGCAACTTTAATTATGATTTAAAAAAATGGGAACAAAGGGAATATTAAAATGGAGCTCTTGGGGAGCCTGTGCCCCAGTCAGGCTTGAAATGGCAACCTAAATCTACTGTTCCCTTAGTTTTTCTCAATTATGATGTCATTCTCAGTGTGTGAGCATGTTGCCATGTTGAAAGTAATTCCATTGTTTAAAGATACGTTTTTTTTTTTTCATACAATATAGCACCTAAACCTAAGGAACTTGTTTCAACTGATCTTCAACTGAAGAGGGAGTCAGGCCTCTGTTTCAACATGGGAGAAAATGGGCTGTATTGTACTTACAGTGAGGTACAATTTTACAAAGTGGTGTTAAGGAGTTTTCAAGGGTATTTTTGACTATCTGAGTTTTACTATAACTACTTTAGAATCCACCTCTCTTATCTGAGCACCTCCTTGCCTCCCCCCAGCCTTCCCCACCCCAACACAAACACAATGTGAGACGGGGTCTGGCATTGAGCTGAGCTCTTTGAGGTTCTTGAAGAAATATAAGGTGGGGATCTTTGGAGCACTGGAAGAATTTCGGATCTGCATGGTGTTATTTTTAATGGGTAAAAGTGACAAAACTTACATTCTTCTTGTGAGAAAGAATATTATTTTGTTTGTAACGCAAACATATAATATCCCGCTGCAAAATTCCAAAGACAGATGCTAGTTTAGTTTATGGTAGAGCTGAATGATGGATTTATTGCTTGAATATCATTTCTTCATTCTAATCAGACGGTGATGAAAATATAAAATAATCTTGATATACTGAAAGCTAAATTGTATATCCATTCTCATAGCTGATGTGTAGAATGTCTTGCAAAAATCTCAACTTTTTTTTACAGTAACAAAAAGTATATAGGCTTTATTGATTTTAAGTTTGCTTATTTTTTAAATCATTTCTTAGTTTCTAATTATGATTCCAACAGGTATTGTCTTTTGATGCTTATGTAGAAGATGAAGTACCTGATAAAAGTCAAGAAAAGTATAGAATAAGATTCTATAAAATCTTCTTCTACCTTGAAGATGACACAATTCAAGTAACTGAACCAGTGGTGAAAAATAGTGGACTGCGTCAAGGTATCTATTTAAAATAGAGTTACTATTCTTCCACTTTTAATTTTTGCCTTTATATTCTGTCTTGCTCTAGCTTTTTAATCAATCAATCAATTAATTAATTAACTTAAAAATTTTTTAGACGAGGCGACCCTTGGTTGACCTCACAGATTTCAAGGACCTTGCCAGCTTGCAATCCCTTATTTTTTTATTTTTTAATGCCTATAGCACCTAGTCTTCCTAAGTGGTCTCCCATCCAAGTACTAACCAGGCCCGACCCTGCTTAGCTTCCGAGATCAGATGGAATCAGGCTTGTTCAGGGTGGTATGGCCATAGACACTCTAGCTTTTTAAAAAGACCTCATGCTACTGCTTAGGTATCTAACTTATTGGCAGTAGTGAACATAAATATGCTCTTAGCTTATAGTGTTTTATAGTGACTTATCAGCTTTCTAACCCCCTTTGCACCCTCCTCAATATTGGCCATTTCTTTCACTCTTCTATGACATACTTGTATCCTTTCAGGTGCTGCTGTAGTATGAGCAAACTCTCCCATTTCTGACGTTTTTCTTCAAACTGTTTTTTTTTTTTTTTTGCTATAACCACATCACTTCTCGTAACACCGTAAGAGAGAAGACTGTTCTACTGCCAATTCCAGATTGGTGTTCTCTTTTCTTTCTTGAGTTCACTGCCATTTGCTTCAACCACCCTCGCCTCATCCTCATACCTGTTAACTACAGAATTTGATGGTACTTCAAACAGAAGATCATTGTTTCTTCACCTCACATATGCCAGTCATCTTTATCCATACTCTACTTAGCTGGGCAAGTGTTAACTCTGTGATGAGGCCACCAGAGAGACTAATCCTGTATTATTAGAAGCAGGAAGAGATCAAGGGAGATGACTGATTTCTTTTGTTTGTGTTATGAGTCCTTCATTTGGTATGATGCTGAGTTCTGTATGCCTTCAAGGGATAGCAACCATTATGGTGAAAGGACTGATAATTTGTCATGTATAAGGCAAAATAATGAAAATGGAAGACTTGGGTATGCCTGATAAATGTCTTCAGGAATCCAAAGATATGTTCTTTGGAGAAGGAGTGACCTAGTTTTCTGTATCCTCAAGGGTAGGACCTAGGAGGTCAGAATTTAGGTCAGAAAGAGGAATAATTTTCTGGAAAAGAGCCACCAGAAGTTGTAGTGGATGGCTGTGTATGAGTGTGGTCAGGGTTGGGTGGAGGGGTGGAGGAGAGGGGAGTCATATATTTGTTTGGTCATTGGTATAGATGGATGACCCTGGGGGGAGGTCAAGGGTTATTTTTCACAGACAGCTTAGTAGAAGTGTAGGAGGGGAGTCGTGTGTGTGTTTGGTGTTTGGTGTAGATGACCTTCCAAGCCCCTTTGATCTCTCACGAGCTGTGATTCTTGGGTACATTGTTGTCTCTTTGTCTTTTGGAGTATTGCCATCTCCAGTATTTTAGGCTCTGAAATTGCCTTCTTTGACTATAGTCTCTACTCCTTTTCCTTCCTCTATTTGTTCATATCCACTGCCCTTGTTTTTCATTCTCCTAGCAAAACATATCCTGAATCTGTCCATGTCTCCCTCCTTTTCTACCATCCTAACACAAGCTACCCTCATTTCTTGACTTAGAGGAATGGAATAGCTGCTTAATAGGTCTCTCTGCTTCCATTTTTGCTCTTCCTATAATGTTTTCTATGCAGCAGCCACAGTGTTGTTTGGGATATTACCTTGGTGGCCTCCAAGATGCATGCATGGAGACTTTCCCTAAGACCACAGAACAGAAGCCTCATGGACCAGATTAAAAATGTATGAATCACACAATACATTAAAACAATTTAAAATACATAGCGAGAAGCAATGGGAAGGAGATAGTGTAGGTTCACTCACTTAGGACAGGGTAGAAGTGGGTGGAAGGACCACCGTACCTGAATCCTGGGGTAGGCAATAGTCCTGCCTCTCTTTCTGCTGC